GCCAAAGGAAAACACGGAACCGAAAAGGAAAAAGTCCGAAGCGATCCTCACCCAAAGGCCTTGTCCCCGATGAGGCGGATGTGGTTGGACATGAGCCTGAGGTTCTCCACCTGGACGTCGCCGAAGTCCCTGTCCGCGATGACCTCCAGCCCCGAGTTGACCACGTCCATCTGCATGACCAGGCCCGGCGGGATGGCTGCGGAGAGGGAGACAGGTACGGTCAGGCGGGAAAGCTCGTGGAGAAAAGCCGCGGACAAACTCTTGGTTGATCAAATCTATTCTCGTCGCCAGGAAAATAGAAGCAAATGTTGATAGTGATAATTTGGGTAAAGATCTAATGATAGGCGTTGTATATAATAAAAGGAAGAGAGGAGGACCCAAGTCTTGATACTTAGATAATATCTAAGAATTGATTAGAATGAGCAAGTTTCAGTTAGAAAGGCGCAGGACCGTTTCATTTGCATTTGGGATGCCACGGCTGATCAACACAATGATCGTTCAGTTTCATGATGATAATGATGTTCCTTCTGTAGCACCTCAGGTAGAAAGCGTAATGCATATCCCATAGCACTGGCGTAATCAACAAATCAGAAAAAAACTTTTCAGAATCACCAGCTCATTCCCACGATAACTGGCCCTTAAAGCTAATTTAATAAATCCCTTATCAGTGATGCAAATAAAGTTACATCGTAAGTACATTAAGAATGCAACTATGGACTCTTTGTAAATAAATGACAGTGGGAAGGTGACATCAAGATCAAACAATGGCGTGTATTTTATCCAGCAATCAAAAAGCATGATGATAACACAGAAGGGACGTCATTAGAATTATTTGCATACTTATTGACAGAACTGAAAATAAAATCCGAAGCTGCCATCATTCCTGCGAGTATTCCTCAATATGTAATTCACATTCTAGCATAGTCATTAGGAAAAAGTCATAACGAAAAATGTAACAAAATAATCAGGACGATGACAAAAACCCCATGTCATTATAATAATTAAAAGAGACCAGCCTCAAAGGACACTATCTCTAAAGGAAAAATGAATTTACAGATACATGTTTCTACATGAGTTGCAAAAATTACAAAAATAATAATCGAAAGGGTAATGACTTTCACTGATAAGTATAGTACCGATGATAATTATAATGATGGTAATTGCAAGCATAATGAATCTGACAACGACAAGAAGATAATAATAGTAAGAATAGAAATAACAATAATAATTACAACAATAATAATGATCAATAATAATAATGATAATGATAGTAATAATATAGATATGATTATAGTGATAGCGAAAAGGAACATGGTAATAATAAGATAATAACATTATCAGTTAAGATAATAATATCAACAACAATAATAATAATAATAATAATAATAATAATAATAATGATAATGATAATAATAATAATAAAAACAATAATAACAATAATAATGATAATAGTAATGATGATAATAACAATAATTATAATAATAATAATAATAATAATAATGATAATAATAATGACCATGATAAGTAAATGGTAATAATAATATGATTAATGATAATTAAATGATGATAATATTAATAATGATAATAATAATAATGGTAATAATAATAATAACAATAATTACTACAATAATGATGATAACAATTATAACAATAATAATAATAATAGTAATGATAATGCTAATTATCATTATTAATATATTGATAATAAATAATAATAATAATAATGATTAAGATAATAATAATAAAAACAATTATGATAACAATAAGGGTAATAACAATAATAACAATAATTGTATTAAGAATGATAATAATAATCATAATGATAGTAATGACAATGATAATAATGATAATGATAACAATAATATTGATAATAATAGTGATAATAATAATGATAATAATAATAATAATAATAATAATAATAATAATAATAATAATAATAATAAACACAGTGGCGACACTAATAATTATGATATTGTTAATAATGATAATAATAATAATAACAATACTACTACTACTTATTACTACTACTTATTACTACTACTACTAATAGTAGTAGTAACAACAAGGATAATAATAATGATAATAATAAGAATGATAATGATAACGATAATGATAATGATAATGATATATTATGGATGATGATAAGGATAAAGACGATAATGATAATGATGCCACTAATAATGATAGTATAAATAAGATAACGATAGCAATTATGATAATGATAATTGTAATGATCATTACTCTGATAATGATAAAAACAATAATATGAACAACAACATTAATGATAACAATGATGATGGTATTAATAATAGTGATAATGATGATAATAGTTATCATTACCATTATCATTTTCTTAGTATTATTAGTTTTACCATTTATTATTATAACTATTATAATGATGACAATAATATAAATAATGATAATGATAATTGCAATGATAATGATACTACTACTACTAGTAATAACAGAATAATGATAATAATAACAGCTATTAATGTTA